CTTCCTGGAGCTAATCATAAAATTTTGGGGAATGTATACTGATCTCACAATTTAAAATAAATTACATTAAAGACTAATAATTTTGGAACTATTTTACTACAAACTATTTAGTTTGAAGTGAATACCCTACATTTCTAACAGTGGCTTCTCATTACAAGTCAAAGTAAAAACAAAATTAAATTTTATTTAGCCCAGTTGATACAACATGGTTAACTCTTCATCTTAGAGTGAGATGAACCTAATCACACTTTCAACACAATAGGGAATAGGCAATAGTGTTTTTGTCACACATGTACTACATAAACCTGATACATCATGGGTCCAGAATAACAAGGTTCTATTTGACACTTAAGAAAATGAGATAGTCATTCTATAATGAATTTAATACTGGCCAGGACTCAGTGTTATAAACGTTACTGCACTGCCTGAAAATATTCCCATTAAACCAGAAATACAAAGTTCTAGTAGCACATTGACATGTTTCCTGAGAATAACAAGGTTTATTTGAAACTATTACTTGAACAAAAACAATTCACATTGAGATTGCTATTTTTCCAATTTTCTTTCTTACAACCTGCACAAGACAACTGTGATGTTAGGGTGAAATTTAGTATACAATGAGAGTAGGCTATAAAGACCTTTGCAAGTGAAGGGTGAATATAACGAAAAAATATCTAATCATTCTGAAGAAAGAAGTAAAAAGTAGCTATGGCAAGTAAAGTTTGTCAGCAAAGGACAAATAATAGAAGGTGTATCAATACTTTTCGGCAACAATACTGAACAAAATTTTCAAGAACAACTGCAACCTAAAATTCTGAAATGCAATACAATAAACGATGTAAAGAAAAATCATTTTGGAAGAGATGTGACACTGGAGACCAAACTAAGAATCCACAATATGACAACCAAGCCAATGATAATATAAGGCTCAAAAACATAGATTCTGTAAGACATAAAGATAGAGAAAACAAAGATTATTAATTTCATTGTTATTTGTTTTGGTTTACAAATGTTGTAAATGTTCTACTGACTGTGATAGCATTTCACATTGAATGAGGAAACTGGCAACATACAATATATAGCCTAGGAATAGTTACTGTACAATGTGGTCTGAAGCTATTATTAGAGTTTAGGTAAAAAACATCGGCAGTGCTGTTTCTGAAGGCACTAGAAACATAATTGAAGATCATCCTTACATTGAGAAATGAATAACGTAGGTTCTAGTTGTGTACCTCAAAATGATATTTCAAGTTTAGTTGAATGAAAAACTAAATAACAAATGTAACAGAGGAAGTTCAAATAAATCAGATGAAATGGCTGCTACATAATAAAAGAATGAAAGAAGTAAGATCCCAAAGGCTACTCTAAAATAAAAATCACTGCGGAGAGAGAAATAGGAAAACCTACAAGGAAAATTGAACACTGAGAAACACCTGGAAAATTAATAGCATTCTGTTCAGGACCATTGCTTCTTTAGGGAGTGGGTCAGATCTTTCACAATGCAATACATGGTGACTTTTCCAAGCTTCAAAATTCCTCTCCTGTAAAATTTATACAACAAAGAATAACAATGTTGTTATTCTGCACCCTTGACATCTTGTGCAGAGAAGGTTGGATAGATTATTCTAAACCTCAAGAACCTAACATGTATTGCAAGATAATATTTAGAAGCATTTAGAGTAACACAGTAGTTAACGAAGGAAAACTGTTAGACATTGAAAGTCAAGTAAATTGGAATTCCATTTACAAGGTTACATGCGGAGAAGCTATTCTAAATAACTGTTTTCTCAGGATAAAAGATGCGTTGGAAAAATCTACGAAAACCATTACAGAAATAAACCTAGGAAAAACTGGATTACAGAGGATTTACTTGATCTGATAGAAAGAACAGATAGAAAATCAATTTAAAAAGTATTCTCTGAACGGCATATATTTAAGATGAAATTGAACATTATAATTCAATATTTATAATAATAATTTCTTCTTTTTTTTTATCTACCAAGAATGGCAGGTAAGCAGGCAGTTTAAATACTAAGAAATCAGCTGGAATACATATTCTTGCAAATGTAATTACATACATTGCAAAATATAAATCAAAACGTATATGTATATGTTATCTATACTTATATGTTTAGATTTAGTAAATTGGAAATTTTTCTAATTATTTTAAAAAAGCTGAAGTGATGCGTGTGTTCAATAGTGATGGTGATAACACCACCACAAATTAGAAACTGATCTCATTGATCTCAAAATTTTGTGAAAATTTTTGAGAAATGTTTGGAAAGTAGATTCCAATGTTTTGTAGTACAATACATCATTATTGCCTATCAGTTTGGATTTCAAGAAGAGATAAGTACTGCAAATGCTATTGCCTAGATTACAGATGCAACTAGAAAATAAATAAATAAAAATACCCTGAATAAATGAAAATATATGTTTTTTTAGTCTTACCCGAAGCTGACACTACAAATAATGAAATCTTATTAAAAAGCTGCTATCTTAGAGGTTCTGAAGGATTATTTACAAATTAAAAGCTAATTATCAAATAGAATGTAACATGTAAGAATAAATGGCTAATATACTGAGTTAACAGTGAAATGTGGTGTGCGTCATGATGCAAATCTGGAACCACTTTAATTTATTAATGGCATTCTTTTAAAATATCTACAGGTGATTTGATTTTTTTTAACCAATGACACAAGTACAATAGGGGTGACATAGTATAATAATGGTGAATCCATTTATAACATTAGACATCTAGGCAGAAAATCAGACACGTAATATAAAGCTTCATATATCTAGCTATGACAGTTTAGATTGAGATTGTGCAAATACATTGAAAGTTGAAGTTTCTAAATATTTAGGACTCCATATTGACCAAACTTTAAAATGGAAATACAATGTGTTGCTATTCGCACAGAAGAGTAAGTATCTCACATTTTCAGCACACAGAGTTCGATTGTAGAAATTAAATGTCTATTGATGATATACTTTGCTTTATTCTGGCATATTGGCATTGTACGGAGTTTATGAATCAACATTAGCACCACTAAATAACAAATAAAAAGGATTATTAAATTATTTATAAAAAAACATACAGTGTACTCGATAGTCTTTAGAGAAAATGTGACAGATATATAATGCCATTTCATGAAAAATTTGTTATTATATAATTATGCATGGCTTGAAGATCAATATTGATACACCAGGAACAGCTAAAGTCATACCGCCCAGAGTGAACAAGGATTTAAATCTGAGGAGAGAGAATATAGTGGAAATCAAAGCTTTTAATGCATTATTCGATATTATTTAAAACATCAAATGTAAAAAAGTTAAAAAATAATATTACTGAGAACTTTTTTTGATAAATTTGGGTAATATGGTGAATTCTGTTTTACTGTAAAAGAACAGTTTCCTTTTTTCCACAATAGTTTTTTGTTTAAATTTATAGTTTTACTGTATTATCCATTTTTTCTCTTTGAATTACCTCTTGCAGTATTTTCTGTGTATGTTCTATTGATTGTTGTGCTTATTACAACCTACATAAATTGAAATGAGATTTCAGATAACTGAAATATGCTAGAACACGCATATCCACTGGAATTTTGTTGATGAATAAACGAGCTAACATTGAAGTCAGAAATATATTCATCTGACTGATGATCTTGGTGATTGAATTTATAAAAGGAACCATGATTTATATTTATAATTGACAAGCTTTGTTTTCTAATATATGTGCATAATGCCCCCCAAAAATAAAACTGAAGTCTGATAAATAGCTGAAATTTATTTGAACAATATTGGTCATACATATAATTAATTCTAATCATTTTGAATAAATTCATAATGGTACATTTTAAAAGTGTCAGGAATGTTTGTTTTCCTTCTTCATGTTTCATTCATCTTACACGACCCAAATCTCTACAATCAATTGTATTTAAAAATCCACTAATTAGACATTCACGTGTGCTAGAGGTACTCAGATGTATTGCTGCAATATTACAATGCATAAACATGCTAATAAATTAAGAGCAATAAAGTAAATCTATAACAATTTCAAAACACAATATACATTTTTTATATTAAAAGAAACAAGAAGAAAGGCAGTAAGTTATTGCACACAATCTTACCATTCAAACACACAATGTGATCTGAAAACTCAAAGCATGTGGTTAACACCAACATGTGTTCTTGCAAACATGAGCAACATTTTATGGTTCTACACATGTCACAACAAATGTGATATGAATCCGTAAAAATTACAATGAGTATTCTGCTTCAACAAATAAAAAAATCTTACTCTAGGCACTTATGAAATTTTGTGCATAACAACCCATTTTCATACCTGTTTCATACAGTAACAATCATTTAGAAAGTTTCAGCATTTTATTGCATACAAATATAATATTTATTATGTTCATACACAATAACATGAAAGTAATTATTACTCTCTCTATGGAATGCAGATTACAATATACATTTCATGCCAAATAAAATTTAATTCAGTAAACTCATTAACCTATTCCCCCTTCAAAATTGAACTTTAGTTTTTCTTATACTGCAACATTTCAATAATTGTTGAAAAATTGTAGAAATACTGCATAAAGTGTTAACATGATTTTTCATAAATTAAATAAATGCATATCTAACAAATAATTATTTTGGAATGTGTATCTTTTGTGAGGAATGAAGGTATCACTTAACTGAAAAATATTAATGAACTTTGGAAAATGAAAATGTCCACTTATTATTGTTGTGTACTAACTGCATATTTTCTGTCATTTTGAAAGCTGAAAGAAATTTTCTTGTATATTTTTCATTGCTCTTTTTTAAAAAGCTTGAAAAACACTCAATAACTATAAAACAAATTGTACAATAGTGAATTTCCCCAAGTTCAGTCACACATAATTCATTCGATAATGAAGTGTGTTCTAAGATTGTCCTATTTGCACATCACTATACAAGAACTTTCTCACATGTACTCATAAAGACCAAACTTTTCAATTCTTTCCTAGGACTTTCTTAGCAGCTAGTATAATATCTGGTGTTTGAGGTAGAGCATATGCTTCTAAAGTTCTGGTATATGGCATAGGAATATCAATACCAGAAACACGAACAACAGGGGAATCTAAATGAAAGAAAGCTTCACTTTCCATAATTCTTGCACAAATTTCTGCTCCAATTCCACTCTGTGGCCAACCCTGCTCAACAGTTACTAAATAATTAGTCTTCATTACTGATGTGATGATTGTTTCCTCATCAAGAGGACGTAAACTCCTTAAGTTAATTACTTCAGCTTCTATTCCCTCCTTTGCCAAAGCATCAGCCGCCTCTAAGGCAAATTCCACAGCTCTAGAATAAGCAACAAACGTGATATGGCTTCCAACACGTTCAATTTTAGCCTTTCCTATAGGAACAACAAAATCTTTAGACAATACTTCATCAGAAACAGGAAAATTAGCACCGTACAGCATTTCATTTTCCAGAACAACAACAGGGTCTGGATCTCTTATGGCAGATTTCAATAGACCTTTTGCATCTTCTGAACTGTAAGGGGCAAGAACTTTTAAGCCAGGGCAGTGAGCATACCATGCACCAAAGCACTGAGAATGCTGAGCACCTACACCAGCTGCAGCACCATTGGGCCCTCGAAACACAACAGGAACATTTACAGATCCAGCTGACATGTACAAAGTTTTTGCTGCAGAATTAATTACTTGGTCAATAGCTTGCATTGAAAAATTAAAGGTCATAAATTCACAAATTGGCCGTAAACCTGCCATCGCAGCACCCACTGCAATACCAGCAAAACCACTCTCCGTAATTGGAGTGTCAATCACTCGCTTATCCCCATACTTTTTCCAAAGACCCCTAGACACCTTGTATGCACCATCATACTGAGCCACCTCTTCACCAAGAAGAAACACTCTTTCGTCTCTTTCCATTTCTTCATCTAAAGCTGCATTCAGAGCATCTCTTACGGTCATCTGTTGGGCCGCGGCTGCACGAGTAGTAGAAAAGGCACGACGGGCCACACTTCGCGTCAACGGTATAATAAGACCCAACATTGTAAGCGTTGACGGTAACAGCAAGATGATCCCAAAGTCGATGCGAGAGAATCTAAACCACTTTGGCGGTCACTGAAGTACGCGACGTCCACTTAAACGCCACGGCCACACCACACCGCCCTGCCACAGTGCTGCCAGCAGGCTGCCAATTGCGTGAACGTCTGCTGACAATCAGCTGAAGGTCGTGTCCGCAAGGTCGCCATTCACAGCTCAATTGTTATTACAGTGTTCAAATTCGCCGCTAGGGGCGTGAAGCTCGCCTCGACATGAAGCACTCCTAGCGGTGGAACTACGAGTTGTCAGCTGATCGAGGTCCTCAGGCGCATCGGAGCAACGGCGCCGAGTCCAAGAGCCAGAAGAAGCAGTCGAGCGGGCTGGCATAACGGACGCCGAGGACGTTGCTGCTGCCGTCACAGCCGCCGCCGCCGCCGCCGCCGCCGCCACCGTCGTCGTCGTCGCCGCCGCCGCCGCTTCTGCCACCATGGACACCTTACTTTCGCGCGCCGAAATACCTATCATCGATCTAGCACATATGGGTGAGTATGCCACTTAAAACGTATCGATGACGTCAAGCAAATCGCTCAGTTTCCCTCAAGGATGTCCAACGCGCGGATGTTTCTTTCGCGAGGAAGATCGATCAGTTTCGCGGAACAGGTCCGTCGCGTCGCCGCTGCGGGCGAGAGGTGTCACAGGCCCTCGGGCACGCGCATCTGAAGAGAAATCTCGGACTTGTCGCCAGGACGTAAACCTCGCGACTTATTCGCGAGTCCTAGTTTCCCATCCACCCGTTTCCCACAGCGCGTGGGCTGCACGTGGCGTTATGCAAACCGCGACGACGTCTCCGTCCTGGGCGTCTGCGGCGAGGCGAGGCGAGCAGGATCCTTCTGGCAGGTCGGGGGCCATGGTTCGCGGAACGGTCTGCCGCCGAGGGCGACTGCATCGCTCAGGCGGGCCTAAGAAAGCCCTCTTTCTGCCGAACATCCTTGATTGCATAGTACATGCACGGTTGGGTGCTTGAGGAACAAACAAAAAAAGCGGTCCCATTCACTTGTCGTGCATTTCAGACTTCAAATTAAATGTTTCTTTGTCTGGAGTCGCGGAAGAGGCACGTCTGCTCTTTTGTTTACTGTGCTTTTTAGATCTTTCAATTCAGCTCAGAAACACTGAAACGACGTTTTACTTGAATTCATTGATGCGATTCGAGAAATGTCTGCATTGACGATCTAATGCAATCCCTAAAGAATGTATTTCGAAGAAGAGCCTGAATTCAGTGTTTATACACCCCTAATTCCCAGGATTCACTAGAGCCAGTGGCGTAACATTCGGACCCGCAATGCGGGCGGGCCCTGGTAAAACAGGGCCTATTTTTGAAGAACTCTTTTTTTTTATTTTTTTTATTTATTTATGTTTTTCTTTTCCCTTTAAGATTACACTTAATACGAGTACTACGTGTGTGTGCTTTACACATACGGGTCCCGGATCAAAGTTTTGCAGGTCCGCCCTCATTTCGTTACGCTACTGACAAGAGCGCTATACTTTCAAACATTTTGTCAATACTGACATTCATAGTCAATTGTCGAATTTATTGGTTTCTTGAAAAACGTAGTATCTTTCAGCTTCCTCTCGCTACATTTGCAATCCCGAAAACTGGATATTGACAGTTCAAAAACAGTGACAGATCTAAGAGGGGACCGCCCTCCCAAGCCAACATTATGTGTTACGATTTTACTCAACTTATTCAAAACAATTACTACATTTTGCGTGCATCATGCCCAAACAAGTATTCATATGAGAGAAGTATATTTTTATTCCAAGCAAACAAGTGTTTTTCTTTTCCAAAATATTTAACGGGGATGTCTTAATTAAAATTGATCTCCCCCCGCCTCTTGTCATACTTGACATACGCCCTAAGAGCTAAATATTGTATCCAGTAGACGCTTTGTATGGAGATAATCTTACTGTATCTGTAAGAAAGCAAATATTTGTATTGAGTGTTTTTGTATGTTTTAATAATGCAGTAAAAGTTTACTTAGTGTAATATTACTTAGTAACAGTAGTTTCTTTCATCACGCCTTACCTTTGTGGCAAAAAATTCGAAATGAAAAGTGTTATTCAAAAATTCAACTAGGATTTGTAAATGTTATTTTATTTAATGCAAGACTGGCAAGTCTGAATCGGCTGTACAAGTAAATCTCTCTCCGCTACATTGTTCTTCCAGAACAATATCAAGCGAGGCTTGACGCAAATTAATTATCACTAAGAAAAATAGGTATTATTTTACCCCATACCAAGAAAATATTTTGTATGTGTATCGATTCAAGGTGAAAGATTATTTCTTATTACGCCATAAAGTATAAAAGAAAATTCGTTGATTTTTTTTAAAAATATTGTGCGAATCTCGTTCAAAAGTTTAAATGCAGTGTCTATTACAAAAATGAAAAAAAAAGGAATCCACTCAATAGCTGTTTAAAGAAATAGAAATGATGAATTGTGGAAGCTATAGCTAATGATTTTCGAAAATCGTTTCAAATGCTTTTTCTCATTGAATTAAATTTAGGAAGCTTCACTCTCATTGATATTAACGCCAGTTGTCGTGACCAGTGGAAGATGGGGTTATCAACGAGCTGTAAAGTTGTTTTTTAATGCTTTAAAGAAAAGTAGTTTTAGTACATGTACACACATATGATCAATAAAAATGTCATTACTGTGGAAATAAAGAGTTTATAAATGATCTAAACTGCGCGAGGATGGCCAGTCTCTTGCTCATAACTCTCCTTAAATCGCCTAGCGGTGGTAGTTAAAGGTGTTTTGATTCTCAACTCATTTGGCCTCAGCTCAGGGCATGCCCGTCCAGTGTTATACACAAGAATTTTTAAATTAATTGTGCTGAGAATATTAAGTGGTAAATTTTTAGACGTTAATGTGCAACGAAAATCTATTAAAAAGGCTGGGATATTTGTTTTATAAAAGTTAATTATAGTAAAGGATTAGATAAAAAACTCTATATTTAAGATATAAAACGTTGATAAGGAATAGTCACTTTATGATATAGACGGAAAAAGTATACATTAATCTGACCGAATTTGTGTATTTTGCAATTTATTTTTGTTATTATGTACGCCATTACACTTCAATTGATGTCTCTTCAGTGATTTACTTTCCTCTAATACTGTCATCAGTTATTTTTAGATTTCAAATGTAAACACAATCACAATCTAGTATTAGGCATACATAAAAGAGCCATTTCTAAGTGTGCGTAGTTTTTAAAAATATATATCTGTCCTCCGCCTGGGGTGTGTTGTTCTAAACATTTGGGTTGGCGTGGTAGTTGGTCGGGGTGAAGTCCCGCACCGCAAGGGAGCTGTGGGGTTTGAGACCGCCCCGATCCACCCGATAACAAAGGTCGGACGCTTCGCGGGTCGCGGTCTACCTGTGCCGCGCCCCCAGGTTCCTCGCTCGGCCGCCGGAGGTCGCATAGCGGCGTTTAGCCGCCGCCGCCGCCGCCGCCGCCGCCGCCCCCGCCCGCGCCCGCGCCCGCCGGCCAATTACCGGCCCTGCACGCGTGCAGGGAGAGCCTTCGCTTAGAGGCGGCGGCGGCGGTCGGAGCCCCTGTACCGCGACGAAAGCGGCACTTTCTCCGCGCATTTCTCCGCCCCCACCCTGCCACGCCCCGCGTGTCTCGCCAGCGCCACCCGCCACTCTCAGACGGTGTCGACCCCGCCTATCCCCCGTCTCTCCCCTCTCCCTCCCGTTATCAATGAGACGTTCGGTCAAATTACTGCGTTCATGGGTGCAGGCAGGTAATACATTAATGTTATTCAGTTCACCTGCAAAATACTGTTTTATAAAACTATGTGTATTGATTTTTACACGTCAAAATATTCAACATAAAAATGTACGGTACATTGCATTGATAAAATAAAATAAAATGAAATAAGTTTTACTATATTGCGCGTTTTATTGTAATTGAAGATTTGTAGTATTTATGATGTTAGTCAGCTATTCTGTTATAGTAATTGGCATATTTTGGAGAAGGATATTTTGACGTGTTTGAACTCTATTGTCAGATCTAGAATATATTTTGACATAGCGTTTTGTTATTAGACTCTCCAAAATGCTATCGCAAAATGTTAATGCTATTTTATTATAGTCAGATAGAATCTTGGCATTCTGAATCTGAGTATTATATTTTTGAGATAAAGACATTATGATACAACTCTTAAGCAAAAAGGGATTTTCCCCATTTCTCTTTCAACATTGAACTCAAAAAACATATACTAGCCTAGCTGTAATCACTATGTTCAGGAAATCTAATTTAAAGTAAGAGCAAAGAGGACGTATGTGGTTGGTTGAGAGAGACGATCGTGAAGAGAAATTAAGTTCCTCGCGATTGAAGAGCAATTAACCTTAACAAGCCGATACCTTCACTTGGGGCACGATAAGGGATGAGTCGAATTCTTAAACTCATTTGCTGTAATGGAATACATTTTTATAATTCAGAGGCAAATATTTTTGTTATCAAAGGCGCTCATTACTATACTTGTATTTATAATTCAACTTACTACAGATTAAGGACGAGGGCAGGAATTCTAAACAAAAATTGCAGATTGCATTAACCTCCGTATGTCACTAAGTTTATAACTTCTTTGGTGTTAAATAAATAAATAAAATATTCCTACAAAAATCATGCACCGTCCATCGCGTTTAACTTTGAGCTGCGCCGTCAGCCCACAACACCGTTTTTTGGAGCGAAATATTCTTTACACATACGTAGCGTTTCACCTTCCGTAAGATTATTCGAGTATATTGCAAGCTAAAAATAGAACGGGTTCCAGGTCATGGTTCGTATGTTTGCAAAGCCGATCGTGCATTCTCTGGTAGAAGCTCTTAAATGTATCTCAGATCTCCTTGCTCCAACACACGACTTCGTCGGAGAGGATTGATGGATACACAATTGAAAACCTAATTTCCAAATCGGCATATTTACATGAAACACATTTTTTCAGAAAGAGAAAGTGTTATAATTTTGTCTTACAGTTCAAGAAAGGATTCTGGTACCGTTTAGCAGAAGACAAATGAAATCTTTAAATATATTTCGTAGAATGATGGAGAAACGTTTTAGTACTATGCTGACATGCATAGCTACAAAACAAAGGGAAATGAAAATATTACTTTTCAATAAGGCCTTCAATTCTCCTTATAATATTCGAGAAGCATTATCTGTTTGCCTAGAGTAATAAATTGGGCACGTATAAATAAAATGCGTGTTTTGGCCTACGGTCCCCGCGATGAGTTCAGTTAGTACTGCCCCCGTGATGGTGTTTGCATCACTTCAGACAAAAGGGTATTTTGTTGCGATCTCTTTTTTTATACTGAATTTTCTGTAGCATTGCTCCAAGAAATGAAAATGCTCTGCGAGAAGTGAGTGTTTTATACCTGTGGTTCCCCTCGTCCGACGGCTTTCCGGTTTTACCGCCTCAGTGGGTAAAAACCCAGGTTGAAGCCAGTTCGCTTCGCAACTCCCACTGCCTACACT